CCCCGGCCCCCCGGCCCCCCGCTTTTAGGCCCTTGCTCTTTCTCAATTTTTCTTTCTAATTTTTCCTCCAAACGGTAGTTTTTTTTTCCATTAAAACGGCGCCACCTAGGGGAGACTATTTCGTAAATAAAAAGAAATTAAAATTGAAAAAAGAGGAAATATTTGCTATTTCTTATTTTTAAAAAGTTTGAATTGTAAGAATTTGCGGGGGATTCGAGGGCAGAATGTTTTGCATCTTCATAGAACAGCTAGTTGGGTGGGCTAGGCTCGTGGGAACAAATTTTGTGTTTTTGAAGCAAAGCCCTGTTAATATGTAAATGAAAATTAAGCTGGAATTTGGACGAATTCAGGTTTTTTCCTGTTTTGGAAGAAAATATTATTGTAAAACAGCGACTGCTTGGAAATGAATCTGGTTTAAGTTTTAGACAAGCATATATAAATTAACTGCAATAAAATATTACTTTGGGGAAAGTAGGAGAATTGCTGTTATGAAGCAATTATGAATTGTGCTTCATTGTAATTTTGAACTTGCTCTCATAGTGTGGCAGGGTTGATTTTGGTATGTTGTCATATTTAAAGTTGGTTGTCTTAAATAAGGAAGAAATAAAGAAAAAATATAGAAATTTTTCTGTGGACACACCCTAATTTTTTTTTTTTTTGTGATTTTGGATTTCATGCAAAACTGCTTTTAAACAATAAGGTTCTACACACAGATCAGAAAAACATGAGGGAAAGCAAAATTAAGAGTAGAATGTCAGTTCTGGTTTGAATTTCTTGGTTTTTCTGAGGGTTTGTCCTGGTATAATTAAAACATAGTTTCCAGTCATTTAATTTCCTACTTCTTCTTTTGTAAAGAGAAAAAATTTCCATAGTAGGTTTTTTACACATACACTGAAACTATTTCAGATACTGTGGATCATATAACTGTAATATTACATAGATTTATTGTAAAATCTGCGTTGATAATACAAATGTGCATAATTAACACAATTATGAACAAAATTAACTGTAGATTTGAATATTTTAATTTTTAATAAAACTAAAGTAGCTAAAAAGGGCGCTGCCATGATATTTTCCATAATTTAAAAAAATCCTTTTCACCTCTCACTCTTTATAATCCTTCTGGAGTTTGAGATTGAAACATTTCCATAATTAATGTTTCTCAGAGGGTTATGCACACATTTTGTTATTATAAGGTTGCTTGCAAGTAGTGGACTACGCACACTGGTTTGTTATTGTAGGGTTGCCCTTGAATACTGGATTGTTGGTATTGATCTTTTAAAAATAAATAACAAAAGAGCACCGAAGCTTTCATTGTTTCAATAAAAGCACATATAAATGATATACATGGCCTTTGCATAAAAAAGAGAGCGTGGAAGATTAGGTCAACATTTGAGTCTTACCAACCTTGACACAGCCTCCTCTCTAAAATGGGGACAAAATAGCAAGATGGCTGGCTCCACAGCTGCAGCATTTAATTTGAAAAGAACATTTTTGAATTTTGAACATGAGTTTCTGAAACTTGTGCTTTCACACTCCAGTAACTTAAATTTAGTCTCCCCCCCCCTTTTTAATTAAATTTCAATCTGGAATGAATTTTTCTGAAATAAAATTTCAAATCTGAATTTAACCCCCTGAAATGTGTTTGGTGTTCTGATTGTTTCACTGTAACTTGATATTCACTTGAAATTGAAGTCTGGACTTCCTGATAAATGCAGGGAGAAGTATCTATTTTTCACCCTGTTCTCATTTATTGGGTTGTGGAATAATGGAAAGACTTGGAAAGCAGGAAAAGTGTTGGGTGGAGGAGAAGAAATTCAGAAATGCAACTTTTTATTTTTACTTTTGCATTTATCTCCAGAAAAAAGACCCACCCTCTTCCTGAATTTTTCTCAGCAAATATAGAACAAAGTACCAGAGTCATTAATAAATAGTGGCACAAACACACTGGAGTGTCACATGTGTAGAAATTATACACAGTGCATTAAATTGGATTATACAATCCTTGTCAATATTTTCTTCGTGGTTTCATTCAAAAGCCTTAAAGGTGGTGGCTTTTCCAAACTCATATCCTGCAAGAATTCTTTTCATTGAACTGCACACTATAACTTCAGCTTAGTCTAAGAGTATACCAAAATATTTTTGAAGATTCATGAATTTAATTCTTTTTTTCCAAGTGGAGATTTTTCGATGCTTCTTTTCTTTCTTCCCTATTCTGCCTAGCCCCACATCCTCACCCTAAAATCTTGGGAGAAGCCCTGATGATTGGTGTGTTTTAGGCCGGGGGTGTAATAAATTGATCACTATGTTATTTTGGTTATGAATAGTGGCATATATTCAGTTACAGTACATAAGAGGTTGTGTTGCCTTGTGTTTTACATTTATGTCTTAGAAGTTTATAATGATCAAAAATATAGGACTTGAAACTTCAAGGGCCTGTTTTATATCTCTACATGTACTAAACTGCTAATGCAAATAAGTGAATTTCCTTATATATAAATATTTAGTTATTTAAAATGTATGTAGCCCATTTTCTCTGCAGAGATTGAAAATGCAATAGCACTAGATTGTAACTTGTGGGGATGCCGTTATTCTGTAGGTGTGTGTACTGCAACCTTTACAACCTTTCACTGTGTGCATATCGGTTTCCTTTAAACAATGGCTTCCATTCTATTTTTCGCTGGTGGTGAAAGCTATAGTTTAGGTTATAATAGAATTCTCAACCTTAACCTTTTTTCATATGCTCTTACATTCTGGAGAAAACCTTCTTGGCTGAAATTTCAAAGGGAACTTTTTTTCTGGAAAGTTGAGCAAAAATTGCCTATTTTTGAGTTATGTGACAGTGGAAAAGAAAAGAAAAGAAACTGCTGTAAATAGATTTCAAAACCTAATTTTTGTAGCATAAATTACAGAAAGACTGTACTTTGGAAGTGGAAATTTTCCAGGAACCTAGTCCTCAGTGAGGGGGACAAACCTAAATAAAATAATAGCGTGTTAAATGATAAATAATTTTTGCACAAGCACAGTATGAAATGTAATTATTACATTACTTCCAGAATTATAGAATAATTTAAATACATAATATTTTCCTAATATATTTTGTTATGTAGGTATAGTTACACTGCTGTGGTGACATGTAATTAAATTTTTGATGATGCCATTGTGTCAGTGAAATCAATAGAAACTAGGGTTCTGAAAAGATTTTCCTTTTTTTTAACTTAATGTAAGTTTTTGTATTATTTAGGGTACAGTCTTTGGACCCAATTCTAGATGCCCTTGGCATATAGAATGCTCACTGAAGTCATTGGAAGTTGTGCACATAGAGGGGCTTGCAGGATTGGGCCTTTCAATTCTCAAATATCAATAAATCCCAAAGTAAGGGTTCTCGCAGTAACCATACTTCCCTCATATTGTGTACATAGGACTCAATACCTCCATTATATTAATACATATAGATCCTCTTGGATTCAACTGGAATAGTGTGTGCATATTTTAAGGATAGGGTGATTGCATAGGCCCCCACTCCTGCAGATATTTATGCATGTGTTTAACTTTATGCGTGCAAATATTCCTGTTGGCTTCAGTGAGACTACTCAGATTCATAGATTCTGTGGCCAGAAAGGACCATTGTGATCATCTAATTTGGCCTCCTGTATATTACAGACCACAGAGCTTCCCCAAAAATAATTCTTAGAACAGATCTTTCGAAAAACACCCAATCTTGATTTAAAAATAGTCAGTGATGGAGAATCCACCACTATCCTTAGTAGATAGTAATTAATCATTGGAACAATTACTGTTAAAAATGTATGACTTATTTTCAAGTCTGAATTTGTCTAGCTTCAACATTTAGCCACTGAATTGTGTTAAGCCTTTCTCTGCCAGAGTGAAGAAGAGCCTATTATTAAATATTTGTTCCCCATGTAGGTACTTATAGACTGTAAGCAAGTCACTGCTTATCCTGCTTGTTGTTAAACTAACTAGATTGAGCTCCTTGAGTCTATTAATATGAGGCATGTTTTCTAATCCTTTAATCATTCTTGTTGATCTTCTCTGAGTCCTCTACAATTTATCAATATCCTTTTTGAATTGTGAGCACTAGAACTGGATGCAGTATTCCAGCAGTAGTTGCACCAATTTCAAATACGGGGTAAAATAACCTCTCTACTCCTACCTGAGATTCCCCTGTTGATGCATCCAAGGATCGCATTAGCCCTTTTGGCCACAGTGTTGCACTGGGAGCTCATGTTCAGCAGATTATCCACCCCCAAACCCTCCCTCTCCTTTTCCCCCCACCCCCCAAAAGCCTCTCCCAAAGCAACCCACCCCCAATCGTCTTTTACAGAGCCACTGCTTCCCAGGATAGAGTTCCCTGTTCTGCCAGTATGGCCTACATTCTTTGTTCCTAGACGTACACATTTACATTTAGCCATATTAGAACACACATTGTTTGCTTGCGCCCAGTTTATCAAGAAATCCAGATCTTTCTGGCTCAGTGATCTGTCCTCATAGTTATTTACCATTCCCTCAATTTTTGTGTCATTTGCGAACTTTATCAGTGTTGAGTGTTTTCTTCCAGGTCATTGATAAAAATGCTAAATAGCATAGGGTCAAGAACCAATCCCTGCAGCAAACCTCTGGAAACACATCCGTTTGATTATGGTTACTCGTTTATAATTATATTTTGTGACTATCAGCTAGCCTGATATCAATCCATTTAATGTGTGCCATGTTAATTTTATATCTTTCTAGTTTTTT